TCATTCCGCGCACCAAGCTACGAACTCGTCAAAGAGACAGAAAGAGGAGTGATAGTGTAACCGTTTTCGGCAGAACAGTTGTCGAGGGATTGACTTCACTTGTCCCTTTGACGACTTCGTAGCTTGGTGCGAAGAATGGCAAAACTCACTGATGATGCCGACTACGATGCCGGCGAAATGTTTGAGAATATATCAAGTCCACTGTCAGATGCTGGGAATCATGACAACTACTATGGCAGACGACTTCGGACTAGGTGCGTTACATAGTCGCCCTGACAACAAGACCAAGTTGCGACAACGAGGTTAACCCACTCCCATATTATTTGTGTTGAGGAATGTATCAAGTACATTGTCAGATGCTGGGAATCATGACAACTACTATGGCAGACGACTTCGGACTAGGTGCGTTCTACATGGCCCCTGACAACAAGACCAAGTTGCGACAACGAGGTCAACCTACTTCATATAAATAATGTTAAATCAGCACCCAGAGATTTTAATGAGTATAAATTTAGATAAGAAGTCAATAATTATGTCGATGAATTTACTGTTGAGCCATACATGATTTACTTTTAATGGTAAATTATGCTAACAAACACAAGATTGGGCTATAGGATGATCTTTGTCCTAAATTTTAACTGGTATAGAGCCAAAATCTTCTAATATGATGGAGACTATACAGATCTTTGGAAGATAAGACAGTCATTAGAGTGTAGAAAATCGAGTCGAAACTACTTGTGGCTATTTGATAGGATTATAAAGAATGAATGAGAGAGAAGTACCACCGATCAAAGAGAGGCTTGATTGACCCCAAATCTGGCTATGCCCCTCAAACGTTGTACGGCTCATGAGCAATGAATGCATACAGCACACCCGTAAACACACACACACACACACATTAACAGACACCAACAATGTAGAATCGGGAATACAAGTGATTAAGGTAAGGATACAGATTATCGTCAGTAATCGAATCCAGTTCGGCTCAGCAGCAAACATGTAGGGAACCAGAAAAAGACCAATCAAATATGAGGACATAAGAAGTAGGTAGGATTGTAGCCAGATACCCTCATTCTGTACGAAGTTAGTCAGCCTGCGTCATTTAATGTTATTTAAAGACTGATACTTTAATTTTCCCAGAAATGAGACGAATAAGCCTTACGATGTCATTGGATTTCAGTTAGCCTTACTTCTCAAAAAGCTATCGCATTTAGATTGGCCTTCAGTTCCAACCTCGCCCAGGTCTTGTCAGAACCTTCAACAAGATTCAATATCAGATTTTGAGTATCGTGGCAACGTTACCACTTAACTATACAGCCACGGATGCCGATGTATTATAGGACGTGCCAGGTTTTACCCAATCACATTTTTAGTGGGATTGTCGATTGTGAATGAATGATAGTCTCGAAAACTACTTCGAAAATATATATCTTATCTCAGAGTTTGAGGAAATTTTTTAAAACATATTTTCGACGCCATATCAAACTGAATCATCAAAGTCTAGGGCAATGAACCAATTAATTATTCATGCAAATCTCGTTACAAGTCAAAGACAATCCTACTTCGACCTCCGATGAAGTCAAGTTACTAATCTCTTGCATTCAACATTTCAAACGAAGTAAAAAGGAACAACAAAACTGTGCTCAAGATTGCGTTTGTAAGTAAGTTTCGAGATCATAAGCTGGACTACTCGGGTTCGAATCCCACTAGGGGTGTCGATGAGTCTGGAGGAGATGGAAACTGCCGTCCAGTTCAGTCTGGATGAGATTATTTTTTGGAAAGCAAGGCCATATGAAATTCAACGGAAGCATGCGGCTTGATCAAATCATTGTGAGGAAATTCAACTATCGGTCCTTTATCATCTTAAACGAAAAGGGGTGAAACCAATTCTTACATTGTGTACAAGTATTGGCTCGATCCTGGGACCAAGATATCTTCTAAACGAGCAAGACATGAATAAGAGGTAGAAAGGAACTATACTCAAGATGAACCAAATTAGCTTACCCTACAGCTAGCTGCATGAAGTTTGAAGAGAACACAACTGTGGAGATGGGAAGAAACTGATCTCAGCAGCGACCAACGAGATGTCTGCAGACCGGATTGATGCTTTTCTCCATTCTGTCTGTCCGTATCAGAGTTTACATGTTCTGATGGTAGGCCATCAGATGAAACAGATCTCGGCTGAGAAGCTGTGAAGCAGGAAGCCTCTTTATGTCTTAAAATAGACCTTCCAAGAGGAATCTCTTCATTCCTGAGCAAGGAAGCAACTTTATGTAGCAGCCCAAAGTTGAGCTGGATAGAGGACTGGCTTCGGGCTCGGCGAAGCTTGTACGAGAAAGTGTCCTGAATTCGCCTTTTCGAAGCTGGCTCAGAAGAGCAAGAGCTGCATCGTCTACGAGTTAAGCTGCTTCGATTCATTAAACTGGGTGGAGGCATAAAAGCGTTTCTGGCGCATAACAAAGCTATCAGCAGTTGGCGCTGGAAACAGAATGCAGGCAGAAATAAAAATAAAGCATTAGACATTTTTTGTATATATGAAGAAAATTGAAATTTTTAGATATGATTGTTGGGAAAACGTTCACTTAATATGAAAATGGATGATGAAATGATTCGTAGATCAATCTCACCAGAAAAAGCTGGGTGAATCGTGTTATACTTCAGCCATTTGGCTTTGCTACAAGCTTATTGTGGACGCAGTCTACAAAACATCTTCCAAGGTTTCGGACAAAGACGAGCAGAGCTTTCGCTCGTTATGTGTCAGTACAAAGCGAATCAGCCGGCATCTTCTGATGAGATTGAATTACGAATCTCTTCATCATAAATATTAATACGAAATGGAAACATGCACAAGAATTTTTTGTGCCAAATCCTAGAAAATCATTTACTACAAAATGAGAAACCCATTAGTAATGCAATAGTAGCATCAAAATAAGAATGAGTAATATCATTTATTTAAGAGTTTAAGCTGCGTTTAACAATTCACTAAAAACCGCCTTGCCACTTCCCTATGCAATAATGCAAATAAAAAGGCGTGGTTACCAGAGATCAACCTAGTAGTAATCTGAAAATAATAACATTAAAATTTTTTAAATTGGCTTTAAAGGAGAAAGATAGAAATAACTTTATTCGATGAAGTGCCTCAAATACTCAACTTTGACTGAAAATCGAATAAAGCAGTGTATCTTTGTTAAAAATTAACTAATTAAACGTACGAAGCCGCAAGAACAGCGTCATATTTACCTTGGATTATTAGAGTGCTTTGTAGAGCCTAAACAGTAACATTCATTCTTAGATATTGTTGGGGAAACTTTCATTTTGTTTAAAGGTGACAGTCCTAAGCCGATCTCGCCGGAAAAATAGGGCTAGTTCCCGTTGTTCTGACAAAGTTTGGCTTTACTGTGGCGTTCAGATTGGCGCAGTCCACTAGAAAACCTCCCTCGTTTCATGTGAAAACGAGCTGAGCTATCGTCCTTCAAATAACGGACATCATATGGGCTGAAACAAATTCTTGAAAAACTTTCCAGTTCATATTTATTCATGAAGACTATCCGACTCTATACTACATGATATATAAACTAAGATAAAAATGAAAGAGTACAAGTAATTAGGATTGTAAGACAGTTTAAAGCTAAGCTCCAAACGAGAATGAGTTGAAGTACAGGAAGTTAAATCCCCAAAGGGATCTATTTTTGGTGCTTTGATGAAAACATAACAAGACATAATTTCACTGGGATTTGCACTCCTTTATGTGCAATATTGCCTATCAGGAGTTGTACGCACGAGTTTTCTTGAGGGGTAATAACAAGTAAACCTGGATAAAAACGTTGATATGCAACAAATACTAGCTCCAGCAGAAACGTATGCCAATAAAAACTGGAATGATTGAATAAGTTATACGAGACAGGGGAAGTAGAGGGTGCCTAATGACCCGGAGAATTGAATCTTTAAAGAAAAGGATGAGCCAAAAAGTGAAGGCCGAGATCTAACCGATAAAAGAGGTGACAATGCCCTTCTGTACTTGAGGTGGAATACAAAAGCGAAATCATCTTACTCGTTCTGAAGTGTCATTAGAATTGCAGGCTGGAAGAGACAGAGCATTCGAGGAAGTGTTCGCTGACAAGCTACCCAAATCACCAACTGCTTCACAGGCCTCAAGGAGAGCGTCGATGCTTGCCAAAGCCAGCAGATATCTGGCTTCGAGAGCGCGATAACCGAAACGGGAGCAGTGACGGTCGGAAATAGGAGACTCGACCACTGAGTTGTCTGCTCGATTCATCAGTGAGTCAATTTGAGGCAGGAGAAGAGAAGACGATGGGAGATGATTGACGCCAAGAGCGAATGGAGATGAAACCATTAGACATTTGCTGCTGGCCAGCAGGTTGAGTCCGGCTGAGAGTAAATGCGTGACGGATGAGCTGATAGAATGAGTGAGATCGGAAGCGCATAACCCAAGAGGAGTCAGGCCAGGTAGAAAAGAGATCGGGCTCGCTTCGGTCGCCTGAGGTAATTTCAAAGAAATACATTAATGTCATGCTTTCATAGGAAGTGTGAATAAGGAGAATACGAAAATTATAGATACTAAAATTAATATAATATTCCAAATCCGCATTCAGTATAATACTATCGTCATCTATTAAATCAATGTTATAAAAAATTTCAACAGTTATTTCGTCATCTTAATCATGTAGAACGTGATAAAAAATCCTCTTTTTAATGCCAATGACCTCATTTCATTAATTTTAATATCCATCCCGGAATTATAATTCAAATTTTGTGGTATATTTGAAACCTGTTTTATATAAATATAGATAAGGTAATTGATTTTAATTAATGCAAAAAGGTTTTCGAGACTACTAATAGGTCTCATATAATAGCCGTATTCAGCCTATTTAGTTAAATGTAATGAAGGAATGGTTGTTGAATTTTCTTACTCTGTCATGAATGAACTTCATGCTTCCATTGCATTTTACATAGCCTTGCTTTCCAAAACGCATTCTCATCGAAAAGGGACTGCGGTTCC